TCATCATCCATTATTCTTGAGTACATCCTTTATATAAAAAAACCCTAAAGAAGACTTAATCCTGGCCATCCATCTAATCTAATCATGGCCCTTCATTATAAAAGACTCCAAGTGAATAAAATGACATAAAAGATTCTAAAATTACTACTTATGCTCCTAAGTGAATAAAAAGATATAAGAAATGAACAAAAAATATAAAAGGATAGACTTAATGACTCTTGTAAACTTTAAGCTTATCTCTCTTGTCTTGATACTCGAGAACGGTATTCTGGATTGCATCAAAGTGTTTGATGTGAGCCTTCTCTCTCCATACATATAAGAAGAAGACAAAGAAGAGGGATGCATACACACATGTTGCTTTGTCTCTCTCGCTCTCTCTCTCTCTATATATATATATATGGAAATGAAAAGCCTACCAATAGGTTGTACCTATAGTGAATAGTAATTTAGGTTAGCTCAAAGCTGTCAGATCTTGATTAGATTGTTGAAAATGCATGTTATTATTTGAATTTGAATTTTGTTTTTACAAATGGCATTGATATGAAATTTTGGGAGTGTGCATTACATAAGAGGGTGCACAACAAAACATATAAAACAAATATATTCTAAAATTTAAAATGACCCAAATGCCCTTGAAAAATGATGAGGATAATTTGGTCATTTTAAATTTTTGAAAATACCTTTTTTTTTTATTTTTATATGATGCGTGATGTTGTCAAATATATATGCCTAAAATTTTAGTATAAAACCAATTTGTAGAAAAAAGATTAAGATTCAAATAGTGACATACTTATTCAACCATCCGATTAAGATCTGACAACGAGTTAACCTAAATTACTATTCATTTTAGGTATAACCTATTGGTAGCTCATCACTATCCAAACTCCATCAGACGATCAAAATTATCTGGTAGTGTCTGAATTTTAATTTTTTTAAACAAATTTGATTAACATCAGATTTTGTAGGTGTCTGTACCTTAGTGAGGCGCACCTAAATAAAATGTAAAACAATATTCAAATAGTAGAAAGAAAAAGTTTATATAAGATGTCAACCTTATACTATAGCTATAAGGTGCATCTAAAAAACTCCATTGGAAAATATTGTTTCGAAGCTAGAAAACTCGCCAATTGATCATCTTGAGTTCTTGATGTAGATATGCAAGAAAAAATGGACTACAATTCCTAAAAATAGTGCACATTGTAACACATTATCCGGATCGTCCAATTTCAAGATTTTCGATTGCTTATATATCTGCATGATCTAGAACCAATTTTTTGAACTTGAAATTTTATAAGTAGGTGTATAACTAGTTATCATGACGTTTTCAGCAGTAAAACTGCATTTTTTTGTAGAGTTTAAAGATGACCCGTACAATGATTATTTGAGGTGGACACCTTATATAAACCTCATCCATAAAAAAAATGACCAAATTGCCCCTATGTATATTTCATGGGTGTTTTTATCATTTTTAATTATAATATTTGTTTGATATTTTATTCTTGTGTGATTTGGTTAGATGTATATACACCCCAAACTTTAGATAAATTAGATTTATAGAAAGAATATTAAAATTCACGTATTATGGGACAATCATGGCTATTTGATGGACTTTGGATAATAATGAGTCATAATTGAAGTAACGTAGGCATTAACTCATAAATACACACAAACACACACACACACACACACAAACACACACGCATGCGCACACACACACACACACATATATATATATATATGGAAGAGAATACAAAACGCCTATGGGTGAAAATGAACAGTATTTTTGCCCATAGGCTCGGCATGATCCGATTTTTTCGGACGGACATAGTATGTCCATGGCGGTTTGTCACTGATATAGCATGTCCGTGATGGGATTTTTTCATGCAAATTTGACACAAAAAATATATGGGAACTGCCACGGCCCCCGTAGGTCCGTGGTGGTTTTTAGGCAAAACCGTCATGGACATAGCATGTCCATGATGGGGGAAAAACACTGTAGCAATTCACTTGTAGCCTTTTTTAAGACTTTTCCTATATATATATATATATATATATATATATATATATATA